CGCCCGCCAGGTCGTGGCTGATGCGGGTCCCCGGGGTGGCGTCCGGAGCTCTGGGCGCTGGGGGCACACGGGGAGGGGTCAGTGGCAGCCGTGACACGAATTTGGGGGGGGGTCTCAGCCTCTGAACAGCGTCACCGCGGGCACGGAGAGGCGGGGAAGGCGCCGGGGTGGCCGCAGGTGCGGGGACAGGTGACAGCCACCCCGGCCGGGGCAGGACACCTGGGGACAACACCCGCGACCGGGGCTGCAGCCCCCGCACGCCCCAGCCACACCAGCACCCGGGCTGCTCCCAAAGATCCCAAAAAAACCGCGTCCCCCGCCCCCTCCACGCATCCCCCCAGCCCCGTGGAGGCAGCGGAGGCCGGGATTTGGTTAAAAATACCCCAAATCGGCCCAAAAACGAGCTGGGGAGGAGAAAAAAAAGCCATTTGGGAGCAGATCGGAGAATCGGGAGGGGTTTTGGCAGCGCGGCGAGGACGGCGAGCGCTCGCCCACGGGCGGGGACGCGGCCGGGACGTTTGTCCCCAAACGGGGACACAGCTCGGGGGGGGCGCGGGCTGCGCCCCCCGCCCGTGGGAGCGAGGTCCCACCGTCACCCCACGGGAGTTAATTGCTAATTGCTGCCTAATGAGGCTGGGTTCTGCTCCCAGGTGTCCGGGTGGGGAAACTGAGGCAGGGGGGGAGCGGGGCTGAGAGAAGGGCTCTGGGGGGAGTGGGGGGTCACACTCGCCGTCCTTGGGGGGGCACAGGGGGGCCCGGCCCTCGCCAGGGCGGGCAGGTGGGGGGTGATCCAGAGACCCCCACAAAAACTCCCCAAAATCTCAGCCCCAGCCCTGCCACGGGGGGTCACGCGTGGGGGGAATCCTGCGTGGGGTGGGGTGGGGGGGGGATACAGCCCCCCCATCCCTCTCCCAGCACAGATCGGGGGGTCCGAGCACCCTGGGGAGCGCGGGGTGGGGTGCGGGACACGGAGACACCCCCAAAGCACCGCAGAGAGAGAG